CCGTCTCCCGATGATCGTGAATGCTGGCCTTTGCCCTCAGGTCGGTGGTGCTTCGATGGGCGATCCTTATCCAGGGCATCAGTCTCAGCTCCCGTAGTCTCCGTTGGATTCGAAGGTTCGTGAATTTCGGGATGTGTCTGCTGAGGCCATTAGGAAGGGTATCAAGGCTCATTTCGGAAGGATCTTCGAAATATGCAGCATCAAGGGCGACGAGCTCCCGGAGGGACACCCTGACAGAAAGTGGAAGGGACGTAGCGTCTTTCAGGGCAACAGAGTTTCAGATGAACACAATGATCATGCGATCTTTTCTGATCTCGATTCCGGAGGAGTCTAGAGAGGAAACGGAACAGATCGAGTATCAAGGAAGAATGATGAGCCTTGAAGAGATGGGCCGTCAGGTAATGCCCGAAGTTTGCCAGCAGAGCTACGAGCGTTCTGTGAGGAAGCAGTCAGAGAGGCTGGAGCGGAACGCCAGACAGCACCGAGCTCAGGACAGAAGGACCATTAAGCTCAGGAGTGTGAGAATGGTCAAAAGGAAATCCGTAAGCCCTACTATGACGAAAGCGTCAATGGCAACAAGCAGTGAGTGTAGGCCGGAAAAGTTTCACCAAGAACGAACCAACAACAGCTCGTGAAGAAAAGAGCGCAAAGTGTTTCACTAAATGGCGAAGGACTTGTTACCGTACGCGCAATGTCTGATCAAGTGCAGTCCGACAAACCCCGGAATTGGGGGAGGTAAAGGGAGGGTTGCACGGAATGTTTCAACCCATGGAGCTGGAAAGGCGAAGCCTTGGAAGCTCACGATTGGGCAGGTGGTTTGCCCGACCGTTGGTGGACAATGTTTGTTCGAAAGTACAGCACAAGAACTTCGAGGCAGGGTGTTAAGTTTTCTGTATAGGACGCCCACACCTTTGGAGTGCCCAGGCTACGGTATATAGTTTGTTGTATACTTTGACCGTCAAGCACCTTTGGCTTAAGCAGAGAAAAGCGTGTCCGCTTGGGGTCGTACAGTTTAACTACAAGCACGTCCTGTATTACAGCATATTTCGGCAGCTGAGTATTTACCTGGTGGACAGACGTCTATCATGGGTGCCAACCTCACGCCTGAACAGCGCGAACGGGTTGCAGCTCCAAAGGCAGCTCCCCAACCCCAGCGAACGACCGAGATTACCGTGGGGATGGAATGCCAATACCAAGGGAAGGGTAAAGGTAAGTCCAAGAATCCAGAGGACAACCTTCGACCGTGGGAACGTGATGATCCTGCACTCACTCGGCGCTGGTACAGGGACAACGCATGACCTTTGATGGAGCTTTACTTTGTGGCACCGGCTATATGAGAGTGATCTTCGCTCACGGCCAACTTGTCTTTGGTGACGCCTGATTCTGTCATGTCATTTCGGGGGATCGTCACTGACGTAGATGAGTGTCACATCGTTACTAAATTACTAATTGGGATGACCGGCTCATATCCAAACGTCTCAAAGTTGCGGCGGATAATTTTCTATTCCTTTCCAATCGCGCCATCTTCCGGGTGAGCAGTGCCGGAGGCACAACTCATGGGGGGTGCGAACGGACCTCGATGCCTAGTCCAATTCTATGGTGTCGCTATCAGAGCTGTGAGCAGTAGCATGATTCGTCATGTACAGAGGGCAAGGTATCGTCTTACGAACCCTGACCCGACACATTCGTCCATGGACCCGCTTGTCGGACCATGGCACAGTGTAAGTATTTTACTTTCTGCTCAATGCAAGTTGGCTCAAGAAACTAGTGCCACAAGCTAACCAAAGCTCGTAGCCTTTCGTGTGTATCCAAGACGATCAGAGCCACCCAGTGCATAGACAACTCGTCGCGCCTCTCGAACGAGAAAACAAGCGAGCACCGAGTCTGCCTGCTAGGGATTCCTATCTGAAGTGTGGAGAGCGTGGAGTTTACCCAAGAGTCTGTTGAGGGAAACCAACTATTCACTAGTTCGGTGGGGTGAGCGAACAAGGACATTATCACCAACAAATCCCCACGCAAGTACTACTACTACTACTACTACTACTACTACTACTACTACTGCTACTGCTACTGCTACTGCTACCGCTACCGCTACCGCTACTGCTACCGCTACTGCTACTACTAGAATCACTACTACTAGAGCCACTATTACGACAAGGATTACTACCACTGCTACGATCGCTACCATCGCTATCGCTACTACTTTTACACCGGCTGTGGCAGCGACACTACGACAACGACCATGATGACGGCGATTATTTCGACTACGAGAACGGCCCCAAACACAAAATCCCAAGATATCATTTTTCTCTACCTTGAGTGGTTGATCTGAGGACATATATCGGCCACCGTCTACTGCTCGATGGTTGGGATGTGCGCTCGGCCAAGCATCGGGTTTTTGCTGTTGCACTCCGCGGTGCTGCGCTGTGAAAATTTGCCATCGGGTAGTGCACAGGTTTTGAATAGCTGAAAAAAGATAATAAGCGCTTCACGGAAATGATAGCAGTGAGAGCCCCAGGCCATAGACGAATGCAACGCCCAAGGCGAGAAATGCCGCCTCATGACATAGCTCAGTACAACCTGTCAAGGAACGCGCGCCACTTCTGGATGAGGCACGTGAGAACAACAAATGGACGAACTCAATAACACTACGGTTTAGTATATCAAGCAAGTTCAAGAGTTGGCTGATAACACTGATGTGTTCAATTTAAAATACATGATGAGAACACACATGCCACTATTTTCACATACTTTGCACCTACCTGCTGCTGCTTTCCCTTACTCTCATATGCCTCATGCCTTAAAAAACGTTAAAAATAGGAATTCCTAGTTGTGCTTCAACATTGTCGCCGACCCTGCTCGTCAATACTTCAAACCTGACGTAAGAGATATCATTGCATCCTTGGGGGTGTGTGTGTGTGTGATTATGTATACGAAGCCGCATGCAATGCGTTGAATTGTTGGGCCGTACACCTCGTAAAAACTGTTGTTCGTTTAATGGGCCACTGTTCTCCTGAAGCAAATGCTAACCTTGTTCATATTCCTTGCACTGAGTGGTACGAGGAAACTGTCGACGTTTGCAACATCATCAATGGTTATCAAGTTCTTCTGGCGCTCCATGACCTTGTGTCATGCAAGGCTCTTACATCGTAGTGGCTGTATGTGGTCGACACAGGTTTGCTTTGATTCAAAGTCCACCTTCATGAGATCTTGTGCCTGTAATCTTTGTCAGCGCTGCAAGTGTCATCTGCATCCGCCAAATGTGAACAAATATGACAAGCTATGAATCAATTCAAAAGCATGACCATTTTGCGGTCTTACTTTCATTGTTAGAAATACTATGAACTTATTGTTTCCTTGATTAATTACTATATACAGAGTAACTCACAAAGTAGCAAACAACTAGATGATAAAAGTCACATATTCATAAAGCTCGCCATATGTTCCATATGGTTTTCATAATTTATTCATACATGTGTAATAAGTACACACAAGAATGCTTGCAAACACTGGCCCAGACCCCAGAATTTGGTTGAAGTCATATCCTTTTATTCAAGTTAGACCGAAACCATGAGAAAGCATCACCGCCAGCCATAAAAAGTCATAAACAAGTCGCAAAAAATGCTGTTCAATTTTGAAGGACTTCTCAAGTCCCAACACTAAAGATGGCTTTTGGTACTAACAACAGGTTTCGCCGTTCCAGACGGCCAGGCGATCGGTACAGAATGTACGATGGCAATTCTCTCGGCAGGACACAGTTTCGAGAACACGTGGTCCTATCTAAACTGGCCAAACTTTCGAGGTTTTGCTGAAGGCAGCTACTGGCAAGAATCGGACCCTAGGCGAGTAGTTCTAAGGTGTCGCACCCCGGGCGGGTATTCCTGAATTTTGCCAAATCACACACAACAAAGAGACTGAAGCCGTTTCAATTCACGGCGATCCATGATAATGCTGCCATTCGTAGATGATAATGCTACAATATAGGTGTTTTTTTCGCAAAACGCAGTTTTTTAAAGGCTTCCCATCCAACATGCAATTGTTTTGAAGGCTATGGAGCACATAGGCGAGCTAACATGCACGCTGAGAAGAGCCGGGGTAAACGAAAGTTGCAGGGAATGCTTTAAACATGTTGATAAAGCGAGGAACAAAGCCATCCGACTTTCGTATGAGGGCGTTCGAAGGAAAACACTGAAACGAGATTGTGTTGCTCATTCAGTAGAATGCAATGAGTGGCTACAGAGTGAGCAATGGTTTTCAATTCATGTAAGCGGAGGACCGACCGAAGATGTCGTAATCTAGAGAGAGCGGGAGAACTGCGAAGAATCCAACCAGCAACATACAGCGTCGAATGTCTCACTTCAAGTATGTAGATACAACTGAGGGACAAGTCACAACATGAGCGATCACCAACCCACGAGAACAAGCAGACCCACATTACCAAAATGCACTCCTCAACAGATGTTTCCTATGTGCTGTACTGCACCAACGTTAGAAGTTGTATTTCGTGTGCGGATAAACTTTTCGTTGAACTCGTAAGCCGTCACTTGAAGAAGCCTGGCCTAGCGGCCTAGCTTTGTCCGACTTGGGAGTTACGCCACATGGAGACAGGCTGGTTTTCTATACGGCAACGAGATTGGTGGTGGGCTTTGGGTCTGGAGCTGGCACGCTGTGATGCAACACTGGGCAAAGCTATCTTAACTTCGGAAACAATTTTTTTTATGCGGTAGCTGTTCTTGACACATTGGCCATTTCGGTAGGCATTCGCAACTCAGCACCGGAACCCGTAAATCGAAATCCTGTCCTAAAGCTCTCCGGTAGGTGTGTTTCTTGTTGCAAACAAGGTGCCACCTGCTTGCTGATGCAGCGAAAAGGTGGGACGATGCCGACAGGCCGAGCGCAGCATTTCAAAGAGCACTTCGCACACCTGCCCTAAGCTGCTGAAACCCTAGTCCTACAACTTGTATTTCCTCCCCAAGCTAAGGAAAGGATTCGGAGAGGAGATGGGCATGGTCTTCCGCACGCTCCTCTTCAACCCTACGGGACGCCGGACCCCAGATCGGTTCGGGGTTCGCTTCAATCTCGGGCTTCTGGGATAGAGGTCTCAGTTTGAGGGAAGGTTAGGCTTCAGCCTTCCGGTGTGTTGCAAATCTGAGTCTGCAACTTTCAACTGTTCAAGGTTAGGCCGCAGAACTCGCCACTTGTTTGGTGCAAGCAGGGGCTTTGCGAGTGGGTTTCGACTGTTTTGGAGGCTGTAATTTGTGTTTTTGGTCGAACATTTCGGGCTGGGAAAGATTAAGTGTCTGTCAGAACAGCAGGCGGCCGGCTTTGTATTTTGTGTCGACGCTGATTTCAGCCCGCCCCCCCCCCCCCCCGGTTCAGGACTTGGGATATTTATAAACCAGGGGCTCCGTGAATTGATGCTTCGAGACGTCGGTGGTGGCAGCGGCTTCAAGCTAGGTTCATGACTTGCTTTCGGGGAGCGTACCGGAGACCTGCTACTCATCACGGTATATTCTGTGAGAAAGGCTACAAGCACTTAGGAACTTCTCATCTCCCTGTTTCTTTTGTCTCTGTCTCTCTCCCTCACTCACATGTATGTATACTATTGTGTACATGCATATGAACTTGTGTGTGGATATACATATATTACATATTATATATATATATATATATGTATGTATACGTATATATACATATATATAAAGGTGCATACATATTTTTGTTTGTTTATTTCTGTTTACTTGTTTTCTATTTATTTATCACGAAAGCTAGCTCTCTGGAGCTTGCGGGAATAGCCGTTTGCTAATGACTCAGGTAGTAGGGAACTAGGTCAAGATCGTTTCCAGGGCCTTATCTGGTCCTCTCTCAACATCTACTAAGGAGGGGCCCCACCCTGCACCGCAGGGTGACAGTGACAGTTCGAAACTGCTCGTAGAAAGCCGAGGTATTGCTTGTGCAGAGAATATGCATACATGTATAATGTACATGTCTGCAAACATACACACACACACATATATATATATATATACATATATATATACATATATATATATATATATATATATATGTGTGTATATTATATTATATTATATTATATTATATTATATTATATTATATTATATTATATTATATTATATTATATTATATTATATTATATTATATTATATTATATTATATTATATTATATTATATTATATTATATTATATTATATTATATATATATATATATGTATGCTCGCCCCCCCCCCTCCCCAAGATCCACGCCATCGTGGTTCTTGGGGCATGGGACGCACGAAACACTGTAATGCTCAAAAAATTCCACAATTTCCAACCCCAGAACTCACGAAACACTGCAATGCTCAAAAAAATCCAAGAATTCCGAAATTCTGGCATCTATGGCCAGGCCGAGGGCAAATTCTTGAAAACTTTGGAATTTTTGTGAGCATGACAGTGCTTCGTGGCTTGAACATCACAAAACACTGTACTGCTCAAAAAATCCACTTTTTCATAGCCTCGAAGCTCACTTTTTTTGAGCATATAAAATTCACAAAACACTGTAGTGCTCAAAACATTCCGAAAGTTCCAACCCTGAAACTACGAAGAGCAGGGTATTTGCGACTCTTCCGCAAAACGCTCACCAAAAAGACAAAACAAAGAACTACAAAAAATCCTAAACATCGTCTTCTTGACGAAAACCACACAAAACTCAGGGATACCCCGCGCGGCGGCAGACGCACGTGCTACCTTGTTGTTGTTGCGGTTGTTTGTTGGCTCCGATAGTGACGCGAAGACCGACGTACCGTCACTCCTAGTGCCTTTCGCATCGGTAAGGCCGATATTTCGTGAATGCATGACTTGTCGCTACTATCGTTGACGTTGTTGTTGGCTCCGACGTTGGCGTAAACGCGCGAAGACCGACATGCCGTTTGAATTGGTTTTTGCACATCCTGCACTCGAAGTGCCCTTCGCATCGGTGTGGCCGATGTTTAGTGCATGCGTGAGGGGTGAGAGGGGATATACCGTTTATATTAGCATTTATAGCATATCTTGTGCTCGAAGTGCCGTTTGCATCGGTGCAGTCCATGTCGTGCATACGTGAGGGGTGAGAGGAGGGATATTCATTGGTTCCTACAGCACATCCTGCACTCGAAGTGCCTTTTCGCATCGGTGCGGCCGATGATTCGTGCATGCGTCAGGGGCGAGAAGAAAACATGCCGTTTGTATTGATTTTTGCAGCATAAGCCTTTCGTCCTGGAAATCAGGAACAGGCGAGACGGGGAGAAGGGTGGGGGCAAGCCCCCTAGTTTAGCTAGGATATGAAGGATTTGCGCGGGTTGGCGCGCGAGACCAAAGAGCACTACGAATGTAGTAGAAACGAAAGACTAACTACGCAAACTTTCGTGATTTTTAGTATTCTATCGTTTGAAAAATTAAGAATCTATACATGATAATCAGATTAATAATCGCAGAATAATATCTTTATATTAATCTGAATAGATATCTTCTAGTTAATTTCATCTGTATTATTTCTATATTCTAATGTATAAGAATTCATACAATATTCAATATATCAAATCTGAAAATCTTGACATACATATATATATATATATATATATATATATATATATATATATATATTTATGTATGTATATATTCCTTTATCTTCGATTATTTTTTCAATTAGATATGACCTCCCCAATTTTTGGTTATCATCTATCTAACGTTTCTTGTCTTCAAACTAGTAAATATAGATTATGGTAAACCTATCTGTTACATATAGGCATCTAGAAAATATCTTCCAGGAACTCATCATCCAAATATCATCGCAGAATCTAAGTACTGTAGTGGGTAAGTACTGTTGTAGATATCAACTATATCTATCATATAATAACGATGATGTTATATAAAGGCATTGCTTTCCAAGTGATACAGCACATCTAATGATGTGAAACCCAATAGCGCCCAATATTCCAGGAGCAAATAATTGAAGGCGAAATTTTTCGTGGTTTAAAACTCACAAGACACTGTAATGCTCAAAAAAACAAACTTTCCAAAGCTTCAAAGCTTACGAAACACTGTAATGTTCAACAAATTCCAAACTTTTAAGAAATCTGCCTTCGGCCTGGCCATAGATGCCAGAATTTCGGAGTATTTTTGGAATTTTTTGGAGCATTACAGTGTTTCGTGAGTTTCAGGGTTGGAAATTTTGGTTTTTTTTGAGCATTACAGGGTTTCGTAGCCTGAACCTCACAAAACACTGTAATGCGCAAAAAAATCCACTTTCACAGGTTCAAAGCTCAGTTTGTTTGAGCATAGCAGTGTTTCGTGGTCTAAAAACTCACAAAACACTGCAATGCTCAAAAAATACACTTTGCACAGCCTCAAGGCCCTCTGTTTTTGAGCATAGCAGTGTTTCGTTGTTTAAAGCTCACAAAACACTGTAATGCTCAAAAACAACCATCTTTTCAATTCCTCAAAGCTTACGAAACACTGTAATGCTCAAAGAATTCCACACTTTTTAGGAATCTGCCCCTGACCTGGCCATGGATGCCAGGGTTTTTGGAATTTTTTGAGCATTACAGTGTTTCGTGAGTTTCAGGTTTGGAAATTTTGGGGTTTTTGGGCATTACAGTGTTTTCTGATGTCCAGGACAGGATATACTGATATACTGTATCACAAGATAATTCTGTGCTTTCAACCGTTGTCAAGGACTGGAAGTACCATTTTATGTGTCTTCTGGAACAGCAAAGGTTTTCATTACTCGGGTTTGATAAGTATGAACAAGGCCAGCCTTGTCGTTACATATTTTATTTCGTGTATGTTTCAGAGGTTGGTAGGTCTATGGCGGCAGCAATACTGGCTCTTGTACCTGAGCTTTCTCGAAAATGGTTTTGGCCCTTTTTCGGCAAGCTGCACTGCCTACGGATCCAACACTGCAATAATGAACGCAGCTTAAGTGCTACAGCAGCGCAAGCCTATCTAGAACTTATTTCAGTTCATATTGAAGACTGTAAGAAACTGTTTGCATTTTGCTATCATCAGAAACAATGGAGACTTCCTGTTCGGTTTCCTATGAGACATGAGTTTTCATTCAGTTAATTCTTATTGATGCTGTCTTATACCCCGGAGAAGATACGGATCGCCATGTCCATGGCTGTTTCTCTAATAGCTGTCATAGAACGTAACGCAAAAAGGAAGCTCTCTCCAATCTTCAAGCGACACTCTCTAGATGTGATCAGCAGACAAAGGAAAGCTTGTTTTCTGGTATCTTTTATTAAACGGTCAAGAGGCGTGAGATGTCTATCGGTTTCTATTGAAGCCGCTTCCCTCACATCCTGACCTTCTGGTATGATTGTGGTTTAGACCCTGTCATAGTTCGTATCACAACATGAGAAGGAGCTCTCTTCAGTCCTCAAAAACTAAAGGTGACATCGTATATTTTTCTTCTCGATTAGCAGGAGTCTTTATGTCTCTTGCTTGATAGGAATGAGGATGGTTCAAATTAGTATCCTCAAAACTTGGTAGCGATTGCTATGCACATGGCTGCCTTTAATATTTGTCATAGATCGACTCACAATATGAAGAGGAGTTTTTTTCCATGAAGTGCCATCTTGCCTTGTTTTACAAGGTTACGCAAGGAGCCCCTGCCTTCTGATTGATACGGATCAATGCAGCCAGTCCTAATTAGTCCTGCGTCAGGTTTGGAAGGTTGCAAGAGCTCTCTTACTTCTTGCTGCAGACGAGCCTTCTTGTGCGCCCGCATATGCACATGAACTTTTCAACTCAGGGAGCTTTCCCATTTCTTATGAGGCAAAGAACAGCTGTTTGAGTATTGCTTCACAAATTAACGCGCCCGTATATTCGACTTCCTTCATGTAGAAGGGACAGGACATGAAAGGAGCTCTTTGTATTTGAAACTCATAAATCAAACGCTAGAGCGATTAGGCCGCATCAGAATCGGATGCTTCACGAGCAGCAGGAAAGAGATGGCCCACGCACACAGACATCTTCGTAAGAGAGACAATAGTTTTTTTGTTATTAGAGGAATGTTGAAAAATGAACACACCATAAATCGCAAAAAAACACGAGGTTGTTTAGTACTGCATGAACAAAACTAGCACGCCCTCCAGCATTTCAGCTTCTCCAACACAGAAACTACCATCAATCCGCGGCCGAGATTCGGCGCCACATTTTTTACACATGTCAAACCCGCGACTTGTAGCAGCACGGTTTGCATGCACATGGGAGTAAAGCACGATTTTTTCGGTATTTGCTGTGTTTCCGGCATATATGAGTAGTGGAACAATGTAGAAAAGGAAGCAGCGGGATCGCGTGGAAGAGGCGGGTGTGGATCTTGGGGGGGTTGACCATGAATATATATATATATATATATAGATATATAGATATTTACATATATGACCACACACACATCATGTGCGGAAGCAACGGCGAATGCGTCGATATGATCGTTGCATGTATGTTCACATGTCGATGCAAATACACCAATGTCATATACCGGCATCAGTTCTCTGAAATTGAAAAACAGAAGGTGCTGTCTGTCCAAACATGCATTTTGGCAAAGTGCGTGGCCATTCATTGTCAAAAGTTCGGGTTTTGTGCTCGTTGTCTGCGGATGCGGCGGGGGTCCAGTAGGTATGGCGGTGCCTTTGTGTTTCCTCCCTGGGTGTGGCGTCTTTCGTGGCTGGTTCTGCGGTCTAGTGGTCCGGCGCTTTTGTCTTTTAGTCCTTGTGGGATAAGAACTGTCATGTCCAGCAATGAGGGCGAAGAGCGAAGGGTGTTTGGAGTTTAGGTATTGGGGATGAAGGTTTTCCATGTCTGATGCGTTGCTGCTCTCTGCCCGCCCAGCGTCCCAAGTCGGTTGTGAGATCTTTACTTTGTTCCTCACATAGACACACTAGAACAGGATACGTTTTGCAGGCAGGAAGTTCGGTTGGATACTGCGTGTGTACACAGGAAGCAATTAAACTCGTTCCTGGGTAGATGTGTAGAGCCAACTGTTTTTCTGAAACGAATCTGACGGCTTCACGACTCGAATTCGCCTTTGCATACCTCTGGAGCCGATGCGTTGTTTGTATCCGAACATCGGCGTTGGAAACACAAACCTGTATGATTATGGAGCTAGTTACTTTCTTAACCAACGATGAGGAACAGGGTCGGAGCCCGACAGCGCGAAGCAGACCGGGTTGCTGGCAACATCTTGCTTGAGCTTGACTGCTCATCGAAGTTCAAGTCCCGTTATGTCGCACAAGTGTCCCAATTTCTGGGGCTCGCCCGATGCACGCTTTGTCCCTTCACTTCTTAGACGAGCAACAGAGGGCCAAGAGCTGCAACAAAAAGGCACCAGGGGCAACAGAAAGGCAACAGAAGGGCAACGGCAACAGAAAGGCAACAGAAAGCAACGAATGCAGGGACAATAGAGTCGCAACAGAGGAGCAACTGAAGGCGGCAGAAGACAACAGACGGGCAACGGGCAACAGAAAGAACAGAAAGGCGCCGGGGGCGCGGGCGAACCGTTGAATCTCAACCAGCGCCCAGGCAACCGCAACGCCATCGGTAACAGCATGCAGCTCTCAAACAAAAATCCCGGACGGTCACGCCGCTCTATTGCAGAGAAATGCACAGAAACATTCAGAAACATATGAATTACACAAACGCGCGTCTGCACACAAACACCTGTGCACATAGACATGCACCTCGACATTTCGACATCGGTCCGTCTCTGCGGCTGGTTTAGTTTCCGTTGTAATATTGCTGCTGTCGAAATCCGTTCATGTACCCGTCCTTCTGGCATTGAGGGACTGGAAGATCATCGGATGATCCAATTGTTGGCTTCAGTTTGGGTTTCATTTCTACAGTGCGAGTGTCAGCTCAAGGCATTGTTCTTCTTCGTCTTTATGTGCTATACATGCTCTACAAGAAGCCATAGTTTAGTTCCACCCTGATTACACAGGAGCCCTCATCGCCCATCCCAAACGCCAAGCAATCTCAATCCAGTGAATCCCAGCCTATCCCAGCCTGATCCAGGTACCTGGGAAGCGTCTGGGGCCGCTGGGCATCCAAAACGGTTTGCAATGGCAAACTGCAAGCTTACGGTCGGTGGTTCGGTCATACAGCTGCCTTTGGAATTATAAGCTTCATGGTTGCAAAGACTTCAGAAACCGTCGCACTCAGGGTTAATGTTGTGGGGAAAACGCCAGCGACACCAACACCTACGAGCGGCACCACAACAGTTACTAGAACATGCAGCTGCATCACCTGTAGCAAAAAATGGTAGCTGCTGTAGAGATACCCGCAGCAGGAGAAGTAGCGCTAAAAGTAGAAGAAGTAGTGGTGGTACAAGTGGTACTAGTGGTAGGGGTAGTCGAAGTAGTCGTCGTAGTAGTGGCAGTGGTAGTCGTCGTAGTCGTCGTAGTCGTCGTAGTCGTAGAAGTAGTAGTAGTAGTAGTAGTAGTAGTAGTAGTAGTAGTAGTAGTAGTAGTAGTAGTAGTAGTGGTAGTGGTAGTAGTAGTAGTAGTAGTAGTAGTAGCAGTAGTAGTAGTAGTAGTAGTAGTAGTAGTAGTAGTAGTACGGCTGATGATATAAATCCTGCATGACCCATAATAAGGAATATACCATAATTCCCTTAGTTTAGGGTCCTTAAGGTAATGCAGGATTTATATCATCAACAGTCGTAGCAGTAGTCGTCGTCGTAGTAGTAGTAGTAGCAGCGTAGGTCGTAGTCTACGACTGATATACTACTTGCTGCTGCCACTACTACCATCACTCCTCCTGCTGCTGCTGCCACTGATACTACTACCACTTTCACTGCTGCTACTACAACAGTGCCAGTGCCAGTGCCAGTGCCAGTGCCAGTACTACTACTGCTGCTGCTTCTGCTTCTGCTCCCCGGGCCTGCTGTGCGACCTATCGAAGCCACCATTGGACCATCAGTGAGCGAATGCCATTCCCCTGCCGACAAGGACTGGGAAGATGGAATGCCAGATGAAGCGACACTTCTGAATATGTCTTCAGCTTTCTTGACTCTCGGCATGAAAGTGCTTGATGCTTCCCTCGCAGGGAAGAGCTTACGCAAAGTAAACCCAATGCCCTGGGCCAGGAATCACTGGCCACAACCACACCCGAAACACCAGGAAATGTAGTGCAGCACCGCCCTATTGCTCATCCATTACCACGTCTAGCACCCCAACCTGCAAGTCTTTAATCTTCAGTTTATATCTAGATATCCTGCCCACATGCACGACTCCTGTTAACTCACCGTGCATTGTAACATGCTGCTTGATATTCTGGCTGCCTTACTCCTGAACCATCCCTCCTACTTTGACTGAGGCTACTCGAATCCTAAACTCACTGACGGAGCTTCAGCTTGAGCAGCCAAGGGCTGCCTTTTTCGGTCCCGGGCTGGAGCTAGAATTCCGACCATTGCCGCTCGACGGGCAAGCAAATGATTTATGGTTTATCCGTGTACCATGGCATTGCTGTGCAAATTTTTGAGAAACGGTCGTTTGTCGGTTGTTTCTGTGGACCGCCGAGAGACCTCCACAGCACCTGACCCCCCGGACACCACCAGGAAACCACAGAGAGACCACGAAGAGATCAGGAGACCACGGGAAAAGCTAGGAGACCAGCAAGAGATTGCGAGGGCAACGATGACACTGCCAAAAAGGCTTTCCCCTGGCACTGGCGCGCTCTGTGACCCGCGAAAACTAGGACTTCAGCGAAAAGTATGCACCGCGCCACAGCGGGAGACGCACGCCGCGAGCATCCTGTGCACATAATAAGACGCGGTTGCGTCAATCAACATACTTTTGCTCCCAGCGAAAGCGTTACTGGAAGAACACTCCCACCGCTACCTTGACGACGACCACTTTATTTGCTGATGTCGTGAGGATCATGAATCATCAGTATGTCTACTACTTGCTGTGAGAGGGAGCCATGCCTGCGGTAGTTATTGTTTCTGTTCGATGGCTTCGACTGGGTCACTTGATGAATGTGATGATGGTGACGGCTTGTATGAGTCATTGCGATGGTGACAACGGTGTAGGGTGAAGGCGATTTCGACGCTGCTGCTGTTGGAGATGCTGGATGATGGTGATGATGGTGTGCCTCTCGGTCGTGGTGGTGGTGGTGCTTGGCGTGCCCAAAGAACCTGCAGCTGACACTCGTGGGCTAGGCTTTGAACATACAGCAAGTAAGTCTTGCTATTTCTATTTAATTTGCTTGCTTGCTTGCATGAGTAGGCTGCATCTTTGAAGCTGTGCATATTCGGGTCTCATCACAGCTTCCCGAAGATGGAGATCCCGACGGACAGCTTTGCGGTTAGATTCAGATGAAGAGGTGTCGTGAGACAAGGGTACAAAACAAAGGATGGAGGAGTTCAGGCCACTCAGGGGTGTATGTTTGTAGATCAACCAAGCAAAACCTGAATTCCAAGTTTCTGTCCCCCACCCCCCACTACAAACCCTGCAAATGTTTGGACCATAAACCCGCTCTCGGTACTGGTAAGGTGGAAAAACAAAGTCGAGGATGAGTTCAAGATTGATCTCCACCGTTGTTTCGGCCGGGAGCTCACTATGCAGGGCTATGACAGCTGGACATGTAGATGGATTGTTTGTGTTAGCTTGGCATCGCTGCATCGGGAGATTGGCATCGGATTGCAGTAGCCTCGAACTGCCAAGCCCAAATCGTACTATGCCAGCCTGGCCGTTGCATCGCACCTTTGACCAGCAGGCTTTCTCGGCTTCAGGCCAAGTCCGACAAGACTTCAGGTTCAGGGACTCGGGAGGGAGTGCATGCACAAGGCAAGGCTCGTTCTGGCTCGGGGATAACATCTTCCGGATTAGGGCATTAGGGATTAGGATTCTTTCCGGTGACCGGACCACTACTTGGACCTCTAGCCAAGAAAGGCTTCGCTAAGAAGGCATACGCAAGCCCCCGACTCCTGCCTTCAGCTGAAGCGAGCGTCCCACCTGCAGTCTCCATTCCCGTCGGCCTCGCTAAGGCACAGGGACTACCCCAATCTCTTGAGCTACAACAACTGCTGAAAAGCTATTGTGCAATCTTGAATCTGTAGGATGCCCCCTGAAGAATGAGCTACAAAATTCCGACAGAAAACCATGCAGCCCGAACATCCGATCAGACTCCTTCGGCAACGCCTCAGAAATCACAAAATCCCTGCAGAAAAGCAAAGTCGAGGAACCCTTACCAACCGACCCAAAACCGCAGCAATTTGAGTTTCTTTTGGTTGAGGGTTTGTTCGGTTGAACGCACCCAGAAGACGTCCCAAAGACCTCCGCACACCTCTTATAGGAACCGACATGTTGGCTTTAAATCAAAAGATTTACAGCAGATTTGGACCCCACTAGATACAGATGCTTCATGGCTTGAACTAGATACTTTCTTCTACGTCGACTGATTCGTGTATGCACTTTTGACTTTGCCTCTTTCAGCAGATGCTCCTTGGTGCGATCCGAGGCAGGTGACTGATTGCAATAAGCCTCTTCTTTCACACCGGGTCTTGAGGAACAGGGTGCTGGCGGTACGCGCAGCAGTCAACGAGTCAATCACGACAGCTAGAAGCAGAAACGGCAAAGAACTAGCAATCCAAAAATCGTTCGCCTGCCAAGGCCTCAATGCTGACTTGCTTGAAAAGGCATGGGCATCGTTCGTATCCATTTTCAAGAGCCTTTGGCAAGATGGCTAGGCTATGTTGCAGCCCCTCGCTGTCTAGGACTCCCATTGGACCTGAAAACCATACCACAGACAGCCACCTTTCGGATATCAGTGGGTTTGTTGTATTACTGTACCTTGTTACTTCCCCCCAACTGGCACCCACCACAAGCCCCAGCACCGAACATGCCTAGGCCAAGAACTCTCAGGCCAAGTCTCGACCAACAGGCTTCGTAGACAGACGGATCGAAGATCTCCTGAACGTGCTGGTAAACCTGAAGCTCGAAGATCTTTGCCACACGGACCTGCTTCCCCTCAAGCCTCACTCACCCTGAGGGCTACTCAGGCACGAAAAGTTTGGAGCTGAAGGGTAGGTGATTACAAATAGGGTTGTAGTAGCAGCACCTGATCCGGCCTATGATCCCTCGTCGAAGCTTCAGGCAATTTCCACAGACAATAGGCGAAGTCTCCAAGCATTAGCTTGTATGCTTCATCTGAACTTGCATAGTCGCACTGCACTGACTACTTGAAAACTACGCTCGCGTTTATTTCTCCGGGCTGGAGTCTGCACTGAGCCCGAAATCTAAGCCGAGGAACCAGTTGGAAATGAAGCGAAATGCCGCCGGTCCCACAAGAAACTGATGGTTTCGGAGTGGGGTTGGGTGCGGTTTGCGCTGCTTTAGACGGCTTGATTCCAAGGCTGCATTTGTCAGCTTTACATGTTTTGTGGAGATGCTCAAGGCTTTGTCGGGTTGCATTGGCAGGTATGCAGGTTAGGGCGTGGATCCATTCGTGCCTAGAGCTTAGCATTTGGGGTCTTGAGTGGTGCTGGCTTTTGCAGTGGGGCGCTGAGAAGAAGAATCTTTTCCGGCGCGATGTACAGTAGGTTGATGGAGTGTTTGCGGGGGGGGGGAGGGTTGGGAATTGTTTATACTTCTGAAGATGTCTAAGTCGTCCAGCAGGAACGGCGGTCGTAGTGGCTGGCCATTACATGCTGCAAGACGGCTTATCAGAATACTCAGAACGATAGGAATGACAATCAATAAACAATAGGCAGCTGGTTCAGAATCAAGGACGAGCTCCGGGCCATTCCGGCTGTTCCGAAGGAATCACGACAGTAACACCGTCGTTGGAGAGCATGTGCACGAGCCTAAACCCTAAACCCTAAACCAACATCCATGCATTCAAGCGTTCAGGGGTTCAGAGTTTTGCGCTTGGTTCGGGAACTACGAATTTCTTGGTTCAGAGTTTCTCAAGCTTATGAAGGAGCTGGGAGAATCGACCACAGGGTTCGGGTGGGCCAACGACCGGGGCGAGATCACAGCCGTCGCTAAGGAGGGGAAGGGCAACATCTTTCACAAAGTCCTTGCCGAACGAGGTTTGTGCTTTGGGGTTCCATCAGAGTCTCAGTTCACTACACCGACTAGCAGGCCGAGGGCAGCGAACAGGGAGGGGCAATGCATTGATGTTCTGGCATACTCACAGCTTCATCTTGAACGGTGGAGGGTTCATGAGGATTCGTACATGCACATTGGCACTGACCATGAGCTCTGTGAGGGTCGATTTCTCATCAAAGTCAAGAAGGAGTTCCCACGACACGACACACAGCCTAGGGTTTGGAAGGGTGGTGTCGAGAGTATCACTGAGCTGAACCAGGAGGAGATGGAAACTCTGGCCAAACTTCACACTAAGCCGCGATCAGGGTGTGGATACCGGGACTCGCTCGAAGTCAAGCAGGCCTTTAAGGAAGCGAAGCGGGCGGGGACAGCGGCTTCCTGGAAGGCAGCCTTGAAGCTCCGCAGGACCCATCGTAAGCAATGGGAGCATGAGCGCCTCATTCGAGCTAGTCAAGGGGATTGGCAATGTTTTCGAGCTCTCAAGCCGCGACGCCAGGAAGGCTGGGATATTGGGTTTGCAGAGGCACACACCGAGGACCCCCACCAGGCAGTCCACTCCCATCTCAGTGAGGTCTACAGAGGGTGTGAAGTTCCGGAATATGAACCTTGGACGGGGCCCGTTCTCCCTTTCACAACTGCTGAGCTAAGGGCAGGGGTGGCACAGCTTAAGCGAGGGAAGGCCGTTGGATCCGACCTCACCTCGACTGAGCTGATTCTGGGGGTCATGGAGGTGCCGGGAGGGGAAGAACATCTACTATCATGGTATAATGGTATCCTCGCCTCTCAACGAATACCCTCCAGATGGAACGAACCGGTGTTGGTCATGCTCCCCAAGATTCGAGCCCCTCGAAAGGCAAAGGAGCTTCGGCCTATCGCAATGGGTTCAGCAGTCTCGAAACTCTTTAGCCGCTTACTATTGAACCGTGCGCTACCTTGCATCTCTCCACAGACTTATGCGCAATGCTCGGGTCCAGGAAGACAGACCGCAGACTTTCTGTACACCATCATCAGACTATTTGAACTCACCCGTGAATGGGGCAACCCGTTGGTGGTTTTCAAACTAGATCTGGAGAAAGCGTTTGACAGTTTGGACAGAGGGAAGCTTCTTGAGCGATTGGAGGCGAAGCTCGGACCAGGGGCGGAGATCAACTGTTGGAAAGGCCTACTCCGGGGCACGACAGGTCTGCTTCAGACCCCGTGGGGATCGTCGCGAGTCTCGATGACTAGGGGCATAAAGCAGGGGGCAGTCGAGTCTCCTACCTTCTTCGCCTATATCGCAGAGCTTGCACTGACAGATGTGGTCGAAACGCATGGATGGCGTCGCATGCCCCCCCTCTTCCAGGATCTCCCACCTGAAGAAATGCTTTACATGGACGACGGCATGGTTTGGAATGGGCAGATCGCTGTTGTTCAAACTCGGGCCCAGCAACTGTCGGTAGAATTCGCGAAGTACGGGCTCCGTATGAATCCCGCCAAGTGTCAACTTTATGCTTCCCCAAAGGTGGTTGGTGAGCATTCTATCCTTTTGGACGGTATCAGGATCCCGGCGGCTCCCCACTTGGAGGTTATGGGTCTCACACTCAGGGTTGGCATGTCGGTGTATGAGCTTATCTCCCCAGCCACCACAAGGGCACGATCGAAGTTCTGGGAGCTCCGACACATCTTCAGGGCCAAGGGAAACATGAAGGAGAGGGCTCGGGTTCTACAGCGAGTGGTAGGGGCAACAGCACTATGGTTCATCAGTGCAGTTCCGCCGGACAAGGCTGCCATGACTGCCATGAACTCCACGCAACTGCAACTGATGGTGTGGTTGCTCAGGTTTGCGAAGGCTCCCCATGAAACTTGGGACCAGTTCCGTCAACGGGCCTTTAGGGGGGCACGTGCTGCATTGCATGCGGCGGGGCTCGAGAGGTGGAGCACACTGTGGCTGAGGCGATACTGGCGATATGCCGGCCACCGTGTTCGCACAGTACTCGCTCCGGTCCCACCGATCAGCTGTGAGTTCGAACATTTCCGTACCCTTCCCTGGTGGCAATGGCAGCAAACTCGCAAATCTCGAGGGATCAAGCACGCAGGGCATCATTATGCACGGCTTACGGTCATTGAGAAGAACCTAGACCCAGTGGCTGGTGCACCATGGCGCAACCTTGCACATGATCGAAGGGGTTGGAAAGCTAGGGAGGAAGCATGGGTTCAGCACATGGATGTTCCTTGGTCCTCAGGGCGCCAACTCTCCATCGGGGACAACCCATGAGTCGCGCACCAGTTGTAGAAACTTAATTCGAAACCGTGAGGGTTACTCGAAACTCACCTTTTCTTTCTTTCACTGTCTGTCGTCCGAGGGGTCACATCGCATGTCTTCGGTGTTTGCTACTGTATGTGTTGTCTTTCACTTTCGATGTGCCCACTCTCGTACATGTAGAGGACCGAAGAGGTACCTTGGTAGGGCGAGTGTACAGTGCGGTGAGCTTGTTGAGGAGACGCGCTTTGTGAAGGACTTGCATCCTGATGTCAGCGATTGAGCTCCATCGGTAGGCTCTCGCCCCTTCCTTGCGGTGTGAACATGGCCGCGCTTCATATCCTCCATGTGTGCGCTGCGGCGATGCTGCTCTGCTGGGCTGATGACCTCAGACACCCCTCCCAGGGGCAGGACGTCAAGGGTGCAGCCGTTGGCTGCTGAAGGTTCACACGTACATCTGTCATCGATGACCTCCACGGACCCGAGCACCTCTTCTGATCAACATGCCGGCGGAGCCGGACACGGGGGCATTGATTCTGCGCAAGATGACCCCGATCGGCGAGTCCAGCACGCCCTGGAACTCCCGGATTACGCGATCCGCCGGAAGGAGAAGGAAATGCTTCGGAACAAGATCAACTTGGCGATCGCTGCTAGGCACTGCCAGTGGTTCAGTTCGGTCAGGGCTCGGCTGGCAATGCTACGACTCCGTGGTGAAGGGCTTGAACCGGTTTGGCTAGCGGTCCTTCGAAGGATACAACATCGAGGGAGTGAGGAATACCGCCAGTGGTGCAGGCAGTATCTGACGCCGCTTCGGGATGAGTTCGGTCGGAGTCTCAGGTATGAGCTGTACACGGCCCCGCTGACTGCAGCTGAAGTAAACTGGGCTACGGATGTGGAGTATGCTTGCTTCCAGCACTTTCTAGACTCCGGCTTTCCTCGTGGACAAGGCCAGTGTGGCCCTATCCCGCACCTGGGTGGGGATGACAGGGTTCTTTCGGAGCAGGTCAATGCAACGACGCCATTAGGTGCCTCCTCGGCATACAGTACCCCTTTGGCCTCTTTCATGCCACCTGGGTCGACACTGCTACGGGCACGTGGGGCACAACAGGGAGTGGAAGCCAAGGGTCAAGGGATAGTCACCGGGAGAATCTGTTCCATGAGCCGCAGACGCCCGAGCAACCAGAACATGTGGAAGAGGACGTGGATGAGGTAGGCATGCTGGGAATCTCTGCACAGGTCGTGGCCCTTACTTCTCTGTCTGAAGTCAATGCTGTCGACCTGCCTTGGATGAGACAACGTGAACCGGGATGGTTCCAGGATGCGGTCGAGAGATGCCAGCTCGACCTAGACCGAGGTGCGAATGTGAACACCCTCGTTGAGAGACTTGAACGGGCCTTCGGACGATTGCAAGATCCTGAGTTCTTGATGGGGGTTTCCGACCAACTGGCTGAACTCTGCAGGCAGTTGAGGGTGCATGAGCCAGATCGACAGGACCCCATCTACCAGCGGATGGGGGTTCCCACGGATCTGGAACTGGAAGCCCGTGCAGCTTGGGCGGCGGACCTCTTCCAACACCAATGGCAATGGCACGCCCGGCCCGACCTCATGCGGGCACAGATGTACCAGGCGGCGCGAGACTCTGTGGCAGCAGCCACGCGGGAATGTGATGCGCTGCCATGGTCAAGCAGAGGACCTACGCAGACCGGGGCCAGACAACGAAGTCGCACACCGAGGGCAGTGAGTAAGGCGGTTGCACAGGTGGAAGGAAGTGAGGCAACGCCTGAGGGTGAAGAGGAGCTGAGCTTGTTCCAGCTGCCGTCCAGCCTCGCTCAACAGTGGGAAGATCTGATGGAGCAGTTTTGGCAGTGGTTTGAGGAAGGTAGGGCGGTCGGGATTCTCATCATGATGATCAGAAGCATCGTCCGCGATCGTGACGATAGTCAGTATGCTCAGTGGGTGACAAGACCCATTGCGACCATGGCGAATGGAATCCCTGGGCATGAAGGGATTGACACCAGTCTGACACCGCTGGTTTTCCGGAACTGGGCGGAGTCTGCGGAGCGGGTCTTGTTCAGGGCCTACACCAATGAGCGGGACCACGGAGATCTGCAAAGCCCGGTGCAGGAGGACACGGTTAGTCTTATGGACAACTGGTACCAGCATGGGAGGAGGAGAATCAGAGACTCACGGACGCCCAGGCGCAGCTCGAGACCCAGCAGGCCAGAAGCAAGCAGGGGTGACCGCCAACAACGGCACGCAGATCCGCGGGGCGCTGTTCCTTCCTCAGGGGCTGGGCGTCGGACTCGGGTTGAGAGCGAATCTGTGACGGTAAGACTGGATGAGGCCCCTGGGCGCTCAGAACCCGCCTCCGGCAGCAGGGATGCTGCTCAACCTGCTGTTGCTAGCCCTCGCCTACCTGACCTACAGGCCCCACTTACGCAACACCAAGCAGTCTGCATGTGGAGGCACCTCCTGTTTGATCGCTGGACGTTCCAATACCCTCCTGAAGGGCAAGGGCGAGTACCTAGCAATTTCCTGCCGGTTTCTATGCTGAGCAACATCTCCGAGGCGCATGAGGCAATGAGTGCACAGAACCGCCTGACTTCAACGATCGCCTTTGTCTCGGTGATTTGGTACCTCATGAGTGAAGTGTCGTTGACCCTGGACACGGCGGAAGCAATAGCTCGAACCCAAGCTGGCACGCAAGAGTCGGAGAACCTGGAGGAGGACGAGGGTGATGCTGCCAACCTGATGCAGCGCACACTACAAGAGTCCATGGGGTCAGGGCATGAGCAGCGGTGGTCCAGGGCTATGGTTCGACTTCAGAAGGAGCTGTCAGGTCAAGGGAAAGCAGTACGGGCCATTCACATCCAACGACTTCGGCAAGGTTTGGCTGGCTGTGCTGACCCAGGCGGACCTCACAGTGAACAACTGCAGGCCCTTCTCCTGGCCATGCAGCCCACCGACGTCGAAGGAGCGGAATGTGTGCCAATGGACCCCAGCTGGTTATCCGGGTGGTACGGGGAGTTAGGGGTGCTGTTGCAGGGCTATGGCATGCCGATCCAACTCGACAGCCAAACCCAGCAGTCTGCTGAAGCCGAAGATTCGGGGCGGCCCCCAATGCATACTACCGATGCTGAAGTGGACAGGTTGCTGGAAGACGAGCGCGAGGCCCGACATGACAGAGAGACCATGCACATGGAGCAGGAAGACAGGGAAAAGCAGGAGGAGGAATATGGAATGCTATGTGAGCAGGAACTTGCCCATCTCCAAGAACAAGCACGGCAACACCAGGCAATGGAGGATGAGATTCTCCAGCATGAACTACAACGGCCATCCAAGCGGGTCTGCACGGTTACAGTGGAGCTGGCCAGTGGCTCGGGGGATCAAGCTCGTATCCTGCACACCATTGCCGCAGACGTCCCTGACAATGGCACCACCTTGAGGTTGAGCATCAGTGCAGCATATGCGAAGGAGCCTGAGGAGGTGACCACGGTTGGGGTCCCCACGCCTCCTGCTGCTGACATGCCGCGAAGTACCAAGGCGGAAGAGAATGGACAGAAGGTCCACTGCGGCTCACAACAGGATCCGCTGGCGCACATGGACTTTGACGAGTATGAGGCCCTCTATGCTGAATGGAGGGCGGGGAGAACCACCACTGAGACCATCGGCCGGGTCTATGGGCAGGAAGTCATGGACCTTCTCGAAGCGCAGAAGGTGGTTGCCGAGGACAAGGAAGAGGAGATGCCTCCTCCCTGCCAGCGCAGCCCGGTGATGCTACCAGGCCAACCCAGGGTGAGATTCCCGCTCTTCGAGAGTGTGTTTGGTCAATGGCGAGCGGGCTGGAGATCTGATGCTAGTATCTCTTCGGGCTTCAATCCCACATGGTTGGCGCTCTTCAGGCTGTGGCGCGCATGGGGCATTGAGTCCATTGAACCCTACCTCTCCGATGAACTTGATACACGACCAGATCCCGATCCAGAAGTGCCGGGGCCGGTCTATCCTGCGGACGAGCCACTCAAACCCACACCACTCGTGCCGGTCTCTTGCGTGATGGTCGTGTTCGTGGCTTGGTGTCGAGGGGAGGTCACGGATGAGCAAGTCGCGCTGAAGCAAGGTGGAGACTGGTTGATCAAATTTCGACAACTCCGTGAAGCAGGACTCCGACAGGTGGCCACGGTTCTGGGCAATGAGGTCGCATGGGATGTTTCGGAACAGTATGTCCAGAACCAGGCGGAAGGGATCAGTCAATGGGCGGGCATCCAGCCGGGGACTGAGACGGTGATCGACAGTGGCGGGTCAGGAACAGGGGTGTCGATGGCGGGACTCCCAGAACAGACAGGGGTGTGGTCGACTATACCAGCAGGGCACGACTCGATCGAACTGTCTGATGCAGATGTGAACGGTGAACGTGATGGAGAGTGAGATTCTGAGGGTAGATGGCCTTCCGTAAATGCGGATTCCTACTGCTCAGCCGCAGCAGCACTTTGCAGAAGGAAAAAGGCGTTCAAAAAAAAAAAAAAAACAACAACAACATCCATCGATAGCTTGGGTCCACGTGCAGCACGCCATCGCTGTATACTAAAGTGTCGAAATTTAGTTAATCAGCGCGTGTGCGCGTGTTGAGGAAGCCTCACGAAGCATGTCTCAAAGGATCTCAAAGGGGATGTCCGTTCACCCCTCTGCAAGTAAATGTCTTGAATCTTGTTGCTCATGTTGCGCTGTATTCGCACCTTCTCTTGCAGCTCATAGGCCCCTCTGTCCTGTGCAGGCAATCTCTTCTTTCTGTGTGTTGTATCCTGTCGCATGAGTGCACCGCGATAGCAAGCGACAGTCATTCTCTTCACATATGTGGGAAAGCTTTAGACATTCGTTCGGTTTTTTCAGAAGTCCTTTAAGATCACGGTATTGAGATTCAAGCCTACTCAGGCCACACACGCGCAGAGGGCGGAGGCCAAGAAACGGCTTCAGGACACGCTGACTTACGACTCTTGGCATTGCTTCGTTGTGCTTCTCTTGCGCCCAGTGCTGTGCTGTTTGCTGGCGGTCCTTCTTTTTACAAGGAACTGAAGCTGCTGTGACTATCATGCAGGCTGGTGTTCCGCCCAGTCTCAATTCGAGCTTGCTCGAGTCCAGAATCAATCTATTCTGAAGGCGGCAGCGAACACCTCTGTTGGGATAGTCTTCGGGGCTTGTGGTGCAGCTTCACGGCCAGAGCGGCCTCGCACATGAAAGCATCAAGTCTTCAGACTTTCCTCAGAATTGTTCGTGAAGGCCCCATTCCATCAGAGTCGTGTAACTCATGCGAAGTCCTTGTTCGACGACAGCGAATAAAGCTTGCCGCAGGGAACCCAACATCAACATCAACATCCTTTGCAATGGTGTAGAGTCCAACACCTATGTCGCAGCCCAAGGACGTTATGCAAATTCCGTCGGCCCTGGCAAAGTGTGATCTGGGGCGGGACAAGCAGAAAATACTGCAGGCATCTGCATCGAACGTGGCAGGGCGCAGCTTCCGGGTTGGTCTGTTCGGCATGTTTCCCGACGGGTTGAAGCATTTTCATCGGCGTTGGTTGTGTTTGGTTTTGGGGAGGTATGGAACACATAGCCTAGCAGCCTCTTGTTACGGGCTGAGTGGTAGCTATCGCTCTACGTTTTGTTTTTTCGGCATATCTGTTCCAGAATGCCTTGTCAAGCGGGTTTGCAAATCTGCGTGTTGGGATTTCTGGGCGTCCATTTATTGGAAACAGCATGTCCCATCAAACTCAAGTGAGTTGTCTTAGTCACGTCAACAGCACAGAGAGAGAGAGAGAGAGAGAGAGAGAGAGTCGACATGGATACGACCTGAAACAAACGATCTTCGCCGTGGAATCTCAGAAGAGGAGAAGAATGTTGGAGCCTCTCGGCATGAGGTCGTGCAAAAGCTATGCTCGCTTTCCCGCATTAGTGCCCGCAGATTTCAATACGACGATGACGATGACTATCATACCTATGAGAATTCTGCGCTGAGAAACACTAGATGTTCGCACAATCCTGAACCCTGGAGCCCACGGCTTGCGTCAGCTGCGCTCCAGGATGCCTACTTCAGCGCAAGCATGAATGATGCTCTCTCGAACCATGGTCTCCAAATCGAGATTCTGCAGAGGCTTCAGAGGCTTTGTGGGCACGCTTTGATGCTTATATAGGAGGTTCCGACCCGGAATCCCAAAACCTTCGGCAGGATAGATCAAGTCTCGGACAACAGAAATAGAAAGAGCGCCTTGGTCTGCTGCCTTGATGAGTGGTATGAGATAGTTTGAGGTTTACAGTCTACAGGGTGTGTAGCCTAGACCATAATCGGTCGTATTTCGATGTGATAGCAACCAAGGGAGCGCAGAACCGCTGAGGATGAGCCTTGTTGGACCGGACGAACCTCGTCATGGTATCGACATCACCGACCAGGTGAAAAGGCAATCCGACTCCCGAACCGGAGCCCTTAAACCTCACCCCTTCCATGCACTTCGAGGGCTTGACGAGCTTCTTTCTAGAATCCAATGGCCCCCCCAACCTCAGAGCTAAGTCACACGGTTGTCAAACACTAACAACACCTATCATCGACGATTTGGTGCTACTGAAAAAGAAAGACTATCCCGTCATTAGGAACTGCTGCACTTGAATATTCGGCGCGAACAATCATAATGAACTCGGTTAGACGGATGGTGCTCCAATGATATTGAGGTTGGGTTGCAGGGTCTTGGACTGAGGTCTCGTGGAAATCAAAGGCTAGCGCTAAAAGGTGGCGGTACTGGGGCAGGACATGGGGCCACCGGCCGAGTTGCCGTTTCTCAGCCCACCTCCCTGGAGACAGGCCTACTTGCTGTTTCCCGGCCCCCCGCAATGCTAATATCAGGCAAACACATACCAAAAACCATGAATTGCTTGTCTCTCGGCGACACTCTTGCGCGAGCGGCGGGGGGAAAGGCATCTATGTGTAAACACGGGATTTTAGGCTCGCAAGCTTCGCCTCTTGTGCCAGGGCGCTGGAGAAAAACAGCTGGAAAAAAGACGGCGGCATTGCCTTTGGCAAAGCTTTGGGCAAGCTATGTCAGGACATTCGTTTTCTGTGGTTTGGTCTTTGGGCTGCGACGTTTGTGGTTCCAGCGCGTGAAGGCCTAAACCCCAACCCGTCGGACAACACAGGTTTCAAAAATGCCAGAAGCCGCAGCTCTCCAAACACTTACGTTCCTAGGTCTTGGTCTCCGGATTGTTTCGAGTACGCAAACTAGTATATGTCTTCCTCCGTCTGTTACTCCCACTGCTGCTAGTGAAATTGCTTCTGGTACGCGCATCATTGCTGCTGCCTTTGGTGTTGCTACTGTACCACTGGCACTGCTACCGTCGCACTGTGTTTTGACGTTGATGGTTTGCTTTTCTTCCTCTGCCGTGAATTCCACGATATCTGTTGTTGCATCCATTCCGTGGCTATCAATGTTCGACAATCACCACCGTTCTGACTTTCACAGCGGCCGTGACGAGTACTTGTGCAGTTGCAATTACAGTCGTCGTTGGTCTTTGTATCTTGTCTGCTTTATAGAAGCAAGGCCTTGTGCTTCTCTTTTGACTCGCTTTCAGTGCTACGGGCGCTATTGTTGATGAAGCTGTCGCCGAATCAACTCTTCCCCTTCCCGTGGATGCTATGATGATGATGCTGATACTGATGATGACGATAGAGATGGTGATGCTGCTGCTGATGATGATGCTGGTGATGGCGATGATGGTCTTGACCTGGATGATGATGATGATGGTGATGATGATAATGATGTTCATCGCCGTCACCATCATCAGCATCATCATCATGGCGATGATCTTGACGATGCTGGTGGTACTGATAATGTGCAGTATGCTGTTGGTGAGTGTTGAGTCCGTCAGCGCTGCGACTGCTGCAATGAGACTCTGATCCCCGACACCTCTCGTTGATTTTCCGTCAACTGCAACTTCCCAGACAGCCCAAATCCAAATCCGAACTGAGACCAGGAGCTGGCACTTTGGGCTTTCCCCCGCAAGTATGCGGTCGATCATTTTGGCCGCCTATATCTGCGATCCGAAGCGGCTTCTCGGACTTTTCGGTCAGGGGTGATTTGGGGTAGATGCGATTTCGTCTTCGTGTATCTGGAGCTCCACATCCACGATTTTTTGTCCATGTCATTCTTCATGAGTAGCTTCACCCAGATCATAAATCCAAGCTTCGTTGAACTTTCCGGGATTCCTAACTCTAGTATTCCCTGCGCCGTACATTCCGAATGATACGCCTAAACACCTCCCAAATCATACAATGCAGTGCAGCCTGTCCAGAGGAATCATAGTTTGGTTGCGCCTGTGATCTGGCTGGCACAGCCAGATGACACAGCAAGCGACAGGAGCCTTCATTCCGAAGAACAATGAAGAGCATAAACACTAAATAAGCCGCCTTTGCGAAAACCGTACTCAACCCGGAGGCTAGCCTTGGCGGGGCTTCTATGGCACTTCTTGATTTCGGTGTAGTTCGGCCGATCCGGGCGAGCAGCTTTTGCAGAACTTAAACCCTGGCCTTGAAAGCTCCAGGCCCCAAAAGCGTAAAGAAGTCCGAGGTAGGCACTGCAAACTCGAGGCCTTCAGAACGTGTGTTATGCAGACTTGAAAGCTTTGGTTCAACAGGGAGGCCTAGATCTGAAACATGGAAGCCTTGAAGTTCTTAGCGTCAAGAACTCCTGTATCCAGGTCGCACCATTTGTCCTTGTCATTGCCTCGGCTTGCAACAGCTGGGTGAAGGGGCATTTGCGGGGCTTGGGGCCTTGCGGTATAGTAAAGGGATTCACAGGTCTTGTTTTCGAGCCATCAACTAAGCAGCATACCTCTTGTGAAGGTCAGGGACTTTGGAGTTTCGGGTTCCCCGGTGCGCTCTCAAAGGTGCTTTGCCAGGTTCAGATCTTTCGGTCGATTGGCTACAGATGTCAAGCGGTCTTCAAGGCTTCACGTTTGTGTAGAAAGCTGAAAGTTTTCGGACGGCAGGATCAAGCGGTCTCCCCTCGAAGTACAAGGGTGCCCTGCATTCTTGGTCTTCTGCCTGTGGCCATAGGTGCTGAGAAGTACGAGGCCTAGCTTCCTTGAAGTCGTAAGTCCCACTTGGCGCAGGCCAGGGCTTGAAAGTAGAGCGTGGCCACAACGATTGTCGTATTGAGTAGCGACTTCACAAGCAATGGGCATTAGACCCCACTCAGGTTTTGGTATGCCGGCTAAGGGTCCAGTCTTCCGGCCGGCGCGGCTGTCCACAATCGAAACGTTCAGTGGTTCTGCCTTTGCATAGTCGTTTGGCTACACTTGACCAAGTTTTGTTTTGACCTCTCAGGGATGGGGTGGTGAGCAGCATCTGTTGTGAGATGAATTCGGCCGCGTCCCAACTCGCGGCCAATGCTGCCGACTTGGTACGCATCATTCGCCTCTGTTTGCTGGTTTCGCCGCGTATTTTGCCCTTGCAAGATGATCTTGGGGCATCTGTGTAGCTGCGAAAGCACGTTGGTCACTTGGGGCACCGGGACGGCGGGAATCATGGGGCTTGCTTGGCCGCCCGCGGGGTCCAGGATTTGCGACGAAGTCAAGGACGCAGGCTTTGGCTCCTTGAAAGTGGCCGGGGCCGGGGCCGCAGGGACAAGGACCCCCAGCTGATGCTCGCCGTCTCGGTGCCCAGAAAGGACGCCCCAGGGCCCAGATGAGCACCTTGTCGCACGCAGATGCTCATGAAGGCTTTTCTCCAAAAGAAAGGCTTCAACCAACTCTAGGGAGCGGTTTATGTCCTGCTTTTGTGCTTGTTTGGTTACAATGAAATAAGCGGCATAAGAACATAAGCACCAAAACAACCAAGAACGAAGCATGAAAACGAACACGTGTCATTTCCTTGGTATGTTTTATCTGTTTCCATTCGCTTCTCCTGTTTTCATGGCAAGTTTGAAACGAAGCAAAGCGAAAGAAAGAAAGCATGGCTGGTGTGTATGTTGACGGTTCCCTGTCAAAGGTTTGCTTTCATCAAAGAGCACACCAGGAACAGGAAAATCTTAGAAACGAAGCAGGCGTGATGAACGGTATGAAGAGAAGCGGATCGCGCCCTTCTTTCATTGTGCTTGTTTTTGTCCTTTTCCCCATTTCGTTAAAGCAAAGCGCGCCTCAGTCTTGCGTTGCTTTTTCTTATTGAATGCGGGCACTTGGGGAACGGAATGGAAGCAAATGACTTCGGTTTAATGGTAACATAGTAACATCAGAAACAAGCGACAGAGAGAGAAGAATTACACAAAGCCATGCATGTTTGCACTTTGTGTTTAGTTCGATTCTTCTCTTTCGCCTCTGGATCGAGGATGTAGTCGAAGTACACACTTGTTATGGTAAACTTGCCCTTTTCCTTTGCTAACGCTTCTTGCCTAGTACTGACAAGAAGATACTGTATGAAGTGATCAGTTTTCTGTATTTGAAACTTGCAGTTATAATTGTGGTGGAATGCAGCGCACGTTAGCCCAAATTAAACAAAGGAAGTATTAGCGAATGAGCTGTTTTGCAGGATCCTGAATCACTCACAACCCAAGTTCAAATCATACCAAAAGGCTTCTTTTTGATGGGTTAACAACACAACCCAGCGAAAGGAAACGAAGCGAACCACTTACCATCACATAGTTAGTTAGTTATGTTTTCCTGTGGCTTTGTTGCATTATAGCCAAAGGTAGTGCGGAAAACAACGGGCGACATGAACCACGCTTCGTTCATTCTTTGCACTGATTTGTGTTATTTTCGTTTCCTTTGATGTCTTTCCTTTGCACACATGACATTATTCTAAACATGTGACTGAAGTGGAACCAAAGGAACGCTAAAAAGGATGAACATTGAGAGAACGAAAACAAACCGAATGGAATGTAATGCGTGGTTTGTTCCATTCAATTTTGCACTTGTTCCCCTTTGACGAAATCTTAAAGTTGTGCTTTTTGTTCAATTAAGATTTCGACATGCGTAAACTTGGAGAATCCTCATCATCGCTATGTCCTTGTGTGCCCTCTCTTTGTTCTTTCGCTTTGCTTGCACTAGAATGAAATAGAAGCAACACAACCCCTCTTGTCTCATGTACTTCATCACTTAATCATGACATGCGCCTGTCTTGTCATTCGCTTGCATTCATTGTAGTTAAATGAGCCCACCGGTATTCAGGCAATGGTAAGTTTGGGAGCGAAGCGAACAGCAAAAGATGCTAGATAACATAATGAAGGTAAACGGGGCGTGCATCATTTATCCTTTTTCCATGACTTTTCTTTCGCATCGTTTGTGTCACCGCCATCATGAGCATCAGCTGGGATCTTTGGCCCTTTTTGCCCCCCCTGCCCGCCCCCTCCCCCCCTCCTGCGCACCGCCCCTCCCCGACCCCCCTTCCCTTCCTCCCTTATCCGTTTTTGGTTCGAGGATTCTGAAGATGGCGATGCTCGCGCCCCCCAACCCGATTCAAAGCAACTGCGAATAGTTTTGGGGAGTGGCCGCTGCTTCGCCGCAGGCGTTCGCGATGACCCCTAAACCTACACCTGAATCGGAAAGCTTTGTAGAGGCCGCAATGCAGTTTCTTCACGGTATGGAACAGTGGCCGCAGCTGCAAGCTGTGGGCACCAGCATGTAGAAATGTCAATTGGTAGTTGGCAGCAGCAGCAGCAGTGGTGTTCGCATTCCCCACTGCCCTCCCAGGCATGGCCTCCATTGGCATTCCTTACTGGAGTACTTCCATTTCTTTGGCGGCGCTTCTATGCCAGCGCTGTGCCCCAGGCCTTTGCATTCAGATCAGGCGGCAGGCGTGGTGGAGTCTAGGCTACAGTACGAAGAAAGTGATTCCAGAGTACAAGAAGCTGACTTAGGGCCTTAGGGTATGTTCTGCTTTGGTTTAGATTCGATCAAGCTCCGGGGTTAAGAAGGTTGTAGGGACTATGAATTTTGGGGTTTTCGGAGATTGTATCCAAGGCCGATGCAGGAGGCCCTGCCAACTTTCGTTAGTCGAGTTTCACATCTTTCGCTGAGCCAAATGAGTCCGAGAATAACATGAATTCTAAGCCTGGTGATGCGGCCCTGAAGCTTTGCAATCAGGTTTTGAGTTGTATTTGGGGAGCGTCGGGTGGAGGAGCTCAGGCGGGTCTCAGGAACAAGCAGGCTGCAATCCTCAACTTCCCAGGTACGGAACGAGACAGATTTCGGTAGTGGTGAGAACTGAGTGGTGCAGGACAGAGCTGAGTGTTGTTTAGAGTCTCGAACTTTGGTTCAGGATGGCCCCGCAGCCCCTACCTTCGCCCAAGCCCGAATTCTGGTGTGACGGGTTCTGCAGCCGTCATGTTGTCGCCAGGCGGAAGCTGCACTTCTTGCCGGGCTGCCAAGCCACGGTATTGAGGGCTGAAACAAAAGCAACCCGAAACCTCAAACTTTCTTGGGCGCAGGTGTTGGCCGGGCTTAACCAGGCAAAGATGCAAAATCGACAGTTCAAGGCATCATCTCGGATTTTGCTTGGTTTCTCCTCTGGTTCTGCCACGACAAGCAGTAGAGCATCTGAAACTCAAAGCCAACTCCGTGTCGCATTTAGGTCTTTTTTGCGTGCCCCCTCAGGGCTTCGAAGATAGTGCGACAGAGCATGTGATGTGAGTTTGGGATTCGTGCGGTGCACACACGCTCTCGTAGAGTCGTGGTGGAGCTGTGCTTATGAAGCAGGAAACGACGCGTCATCGTCATCATCATGTGTGGTTCTGCGTGCGTGCATGTCCATGATGACCATCAGTATTGCGGTAAACACCGTCGCAAATCGTGTTTACGATAACGTCAATAATATAATAGAGTTTGTCACATCTGTCTGTTCGTCACTGCGATTCGTCACACGTTCTTCAGACGAGTCCCCAGCCGCATAGCCGCTTCCTTGACTCCGTGACTGCGAACAGTACCCCAAATCGCTGGTTGACTCTCAACTTTTTCATGCCTGGAGCACCGGGCTACGCATGCATGCATACCGAGGAAACTGAGGAGGGCACTATCGCGGGCATGGTCTGAATGCAGTGCCTTTGTTTGGGACAGCCCCACAGCAAGTGTATACTGCCTTCGGACTGGCCCAAAAGTGACCAGAATTTCAGCTTCTAGATGCTCCAGTGCATGTCTTGGCTTAAGGCTCCTGGTTTGCGATTTGGGGTTTAAACGGTTCAGATGTTCTGCCGACGATGTTCAGCGTGTAGGAAGTCCTCGTCCTCGCTTGAGCTCTTATTCTAGGCGGGGTTGAGGGTGTTGAAGGTTTTTGCGGGTGTTGGGGGTGTGATGGTGTTGCAGTGTTCAGGATGTTATGTGTGTTTTTTGGTTGTGCATATGTTGATGGTTTTCGAGGGCGTTGAGGGTTTTGAGGCTGGGGTTGTCGGAGCTTGCGTTTTTATCCGAGGGTGTTGAAGGTTCTCACGTGTCTCCAGTCCGTTACAAGCTTTTGCGGGTGTTGAGGGTGTGACGGCCTTGTTGAGAATGTTGAGAGTGCGACGGCATTTGGGGTTTTAGAGAGTGGTGGGAAGGGTTGTTGCAGGTGTGAAAGGTTCATGCGGGTGTTGCGGTTTTAGAAGGCGCTGAAGGTTTTTTGAAGGCGTTGTGGGTGTTGACGGTTTTGAGTGCGTTGAGTTTCTTGTG